AATGAGAAACCACAAAGACTTAATTAAGTAATAAAAGGAGAGGTGACTGTTGTCACTCTTCAACAGTAAAATGTTAAAAGGTTTAACTGACATTATAAAATGATAATGTCTAATCAGAGCTTTTTTAGACAGATATTAGTTACTGACACATAAATTATTTATTGATAAATTGCAGGAAATTCTTTATTTCAATATAAGAGTTTTTTTCGTTTGCTTTATATATTGAATTATGTCTAATTAATGAAATCCTGTACAAAAAACAACATTAGTTTCACCAATATCATATGTTACCAAGTATTTTTACACCTTGCTCTAATTTTGGATTTTGGATGATGCTCAACTTATCTTGTTTTCACACATGCTAAGATCTATTAATTTCTGTAAAAAATGATTATAAAGAAAGCACTGTCTGTTTTGAGTATAATAACTTATTCTTTTTCTTTCATAAAACTTTGGAAGCAGATTTGTTGCCTAGTTTTGTGATTTTGTTGTGTCCGTTTTTGAAACCAGGATAAATTTAAGGGCTTATCATCTTTGGTTTTCTATTTTTATTAATACATGACTGCACTATACTATTTATGGCAATATTGACTGTTATACACATCAAATTAATTTTAAACCACTTATGACCCAAGCAAGTTTGTAACACAACAACAGTTTCTAGGCTTTGAGGAGTCTTTGAAAATATTTATTTTTCACGTCTGTCATCCCTTAGATATTTAAATTTGTATATTAATCAGACTTCTCTGTAATGCATTTCAATACTTATGAAAGCAATCCAGTTTCACTTCCATGTATGCCAAGTCATGTTCTTTTCCTAGATATTGATATTCTTTAGTCTGATTTGTGACCTATTTAATTAACAAGAACACTCTTTTACTTAATCCTACACACACTTGACACTATGTCATTATCTTTAGTTGCTAATTTTGCTTGGCCTAATTTGCAGTGTTACTTACCAGTAATGATAGGCAGTAATCTCCTGGTGTTCTCTATGGTAGTTCTGGAGATATTCTTGTTAACCTATTAATATAATGTAACAGATAAGTAATCAATAATTCTTTAACCTCCCTACCTTTGATATCAGTCAACAGCTGATGAAGAAATTTTCTGTTACATAAATATCAATAATGGTAACATGGAAAATGGTATATTTGTGAAATAACTAAGCTAAACATCAAAGGTAGCGTTGATAATGCTTGCTGATCTTGGTGCTTAGTCTGTATAGCTGTGAGTTTGAATCCCACAAAGGAGTCCCAGTAATAAAGTGCCAGCAATGGCATCAACTTGGGAATTTCAGATTAATATTAGGTTCTAATGGGCCTGTTTGATGGTCCTTCAAGAAGCTTTTGTCTGAGATAATGCACAGAGATGCATCCTTCAACTTGGTGCTCTTCCATAGTTAACTTATATTAAGCCCCCAGAGGATCTTGACTCACGCTGTCATGCAGTAAACTGAAATAAAGTCTTGGGACCAAAACCAAACATGTAAATTTATTTCCGATGCCTTGTAAAAAAGTACCTTCTGCAATTGTCGCCACTTATACTAATGAATTATGCATCACAAGTATCTAATGACCTTGTGATACATAACGTTCGAAATGTTAACTCTTGTTTAGTATACATGTACAGTTATGCTTTTGCATAACTTAGATTACTACAGGGTAATGAATTAAAATCTATTAATGTAAACTTAGATTACTAAATGAATTAAATTCAATTAATGATGAAACTTTTAATAAAGAAAGTTAAAATTCTAAATATAGCTTTCAGCAACAAGAACGTTTTATAGTTCAACGAGGAATCGTTAAAGACTAGAATCTTTTAATTTTCAGCAAAAAAAATGTTTAATTAGGTCATAACATAATCTAAATATTAGATGGTTTTAGATTTGGTGTATTAAAAGTAGTACATTTAAATTATATTTAGAGTGACATTGACCAAGTGACATTAAAAAAGTAAACTGTTTGCATATGAAATGAATACATTTGTGCTTCTGCATATTTTACAATTTATATATTACCTTTATGTGTATTGAAGCAGAAACTTATTGAACTTAGCCTACATAATAGTGAATACACCGCCTTCGTAAAACGCTAAAACTTGTGTTTTGTTACATAAAAAAACTGAAAGCTTTGTATTGGATTTGAAACATAATGCACTGAACAAATATTTGACTAGGTTTTGAAAAATATGCTTGTATTGAAGTTAGAGCGCAATTTCCCACCAATGACTAATTCCGCGTAATTTGCATTGTAATGATAAATTACGGAAAAATTGTCATGCAGGCAGACTTACTAAAAAACCATTCATTCTCACAAACAATTATAATTTGTTAGGTTAGAAAATAGTCCTATTTTTGTGTTTTGTGCATACTTTATAATGAAAACAGTTTTTGTGGATGTCAGTGACACAATAATATTTTTTATTCACTTTATATTCTGTGAGTGATCAGATACAAATATCAGTGATCAATTAGTGATCAATCATTATCAGTGATCAATCAGAGATCAGTAACCATGTATATAAATAAGCTGGAAGAAATTTTTAAGGATCTTAAGGAGATTTAAGGAGAAATCAATTGGTTTAATTAAAAAAACAAAAAAAACTTTCCTTTTGACTTTTTAGTTGTGTCTGAATGGTAATATTCTTCCATTTTGTAAACAAACTAAGAATATTCTGTAGAATAGTTTGTCACCTTAGTTCAGTAACAGGTTAAGTCCTTCTAAATTTAATAGGAGTTAACAAGTTACTACACTAAGGTGACAACTGATATACTTATAAATTATCACAAGTAGAATAACAAGACAAATAACAATTTTTATTCTATCATTTGACAAACCTTTTGCTGACTTGAAAAGTTTGTAGACAGTTTGGTTGTGATGCAAATATTTACAATGTTTATACATAATGTTACACGACATGTTTTTGTATTTCAGAAAAATTCATTGGGACAACTGGTGTTTGATAAAGTGACAAAACACCTTGATGTAATAGAGACAGACTACTTCGGGCTCACTTACAGGGATAAATCTGGCAAAAAGGTAAGAAAAAGCGAGTCTAGTGTGTGTAAGACATCAGGAAAATCAACATATAAGCCACATAAACTTGATACCTTCATCAGTGCAAAACATAATAACAAGGCATCAAGAAACATTCCTGTAGGAATTTGGAAAGTTTTGTTAATTAGTTCAAATGTGTAGGACGTTAGTCTGTAGCATCAAGACTTAAACACACACCTCTGAAATCTGTTCTTGGAAGCAACTAGTACAGAGCAACATTTTTTACAAGTATAGGTTCTTGCTCATTTGGAAGCTATGGCTTGCCTCTGGCTTGGTTTGAACCTATGGGGCTAGTGGTTTTCAGAATACAAAATCTGACAGGTTATCCACTTGGCCTTGCCGCTGATGGTTTATATAGAGACAGTGTTTATAGACTGTCTGGTAAGAAATGTGTGGTCCAAACGTTATCACAAATTGCTGAACCAATACAGAATGGGAACAAAGGGATTCTACCATTGGTGTTGTTAAATACTCTTGTAGTATTTCTATATTGGAATCTTTGAATTTAACCATCTGGATCCGGTTGTTCAAAACATTGGTTAGTGTTAACCAGTGGTTAAATTCATTATCCTCTGGTTAAATTTTGTCCGTTGGATAAGTTCTGTTGCTCAAAACTTATCCAACGGATAAAATGCGTTATCCAGTGGTTAACTTTAACCAGTCCGAGGACCACCGGATAAAGCCCTTAACCAGTGGTTAGCCATCATCATTAAAACAGTCTAAACCATAAAAACTTGTTTGAAACCAGATTTTTCTTACAAATATATGTTTATTTTGTCTTAACTAGAACATTTCATATGAAATGCATAGGATTAAATTGAAACATTTCTGAAAAAGTGCTTTTAGAACCCTTTTTCAACCTGAATTTGTTGTTGTTGTAGTTCAGAAAATTCAGTTAAACAGTCATAACTTTCTTATTTTTTAATAAAACATACAAGTGTCAGTACTCATTTTCTTAGTTAGAACATTACCCATCTAATGGAAGTAATTTCAATTCAAAATTTGGAAAAAAATTGTTTTTGAATTTTTTACCTATGTGTGTCTAAGGGAAAAATAGATCTATCGATACTTTTAGGCCTTTGATATACTTTTGCTTTATTCCAAAAACATGAAAGCACAAAACATTCAAAATTAAGTCTTTGGGAGCTTCCTGACTATTAGAAGATTATTACTCATCAATAAATCAGCCATTTTGTTTCCAGAATCACTAACCGGCCCTGTTGCATTGTGGTACTTAACCAGTGGATAAATACGCAATCCACTGGTTAGGTAGCCAGGGTACTATCCAACTGTCGAACAATGAAATTTTATCCACTGGATAGCTGGCCGCTGGTTAAGGTTTTAACCAGTGGATAAGCTATCCATTGGTTAATTTTAACCAATGTTTTGAACAACCCGGTCCAGCACTTCAAAATTGAAAGCAGGATCTGTCTATTGCACAAAATCAGCTATGTGCATGTTACATAATACATGTACTTTTGTTTTTTTTAAATTACCCGATTTTGTATTGACATCTCTAATCTTATCAATATATGCTTCCAGATTCATGGCAGAACATGTTTTAAAGCTATTAATTAATTTAAATTAATGTTTGAAGTATTGACAGGTTCTGATTTTATAAGATAAACCCAATTAAGTCTTGACACAAACTATCAAATGTAGACATTTCAATTTTAACTTTAATTGCCTCACATAAATTGAGATTTTTTTTTATTACGGATTATATTTCCCTTTGATGTGCAAATCCAAATAAGCAGCATAGCTTTCAAAACTGGTTAATTTGAATGCTTAAGAAATCATTATTCCAGCTTTCCTTTTTTTCTCCTCATTCCATGTAAGGCACATTGTCCAATGATGTAGAAATATGATACTTAATTTAGAAAGCCTAGGGTTAAAAAGAAGGAAATTACTAACCAATGAGCAGGCAACTTCAAGTGAGCAAAGTGTAACCCTTAAGGTCTGTTTTATTTTTCAATGCATCAACTTTTTTGATCTCTCCAGGCCAAAATGGTAAGATCAAATTGACTTTAGCAGAGCAAGTTTGATTGAATGTAATATATTCCTAAAATGTTGGCCTTACATTACTGGTTACACAAGCCTGTCCAAATTGCTGCTTGTGCAAAAGAATAATATGAATACAATCATTTTATAGATAAATATTTTAAGATTTCATTTATAGAATTAATTATGGGCTTGTAATCAGCCAATGCTTTTGAAAGTAAATGCATATCACTGTACATTCCATGTTCACAAGTTAAAAGGTCTTGAAATATGCATACTAAGAGTTTCTGGGTATAATTATATAACTTTTCAAAGGTTTTCTTTGTAATATATATTAGCTACTGGCACCTTCTGGTACTGAAACAAGTGGAGAGAGTGGAAATTGCAAATGACAGATAAAGTTAAAGGACTAATGTAGTTAAAGTATATTACACACAGTCAGGAAACTGGGTTTGAAGTATAAATGTCAGATCAATAGGTGAATTGAAAATATGTAGGAAGAATAAAATGTATGAAATATGAGGAATGCACATATCTGTAGGTGAACTTATACATTGTATATTAATTGTATATTAAGTGTTTTCTGTACATAATTTGATATTACATTTTACAATATAACCTGGTGCACTTTATACATAAGGTGCTGACAGATTTGCCATCTTCATGCAGTAATGGCTTAACTCCTATTATAGTTTAATAGGAGTTAACCTGTTACTGCACTAAGGTGACAAATACAAAGTTTTACAATTTTGTCATTCATCAAATTTGTAGCAATTTTCATATAGTTGTAACTTTATACTTTTATCTTTTCAGTTCTGGTTGGATAATACAAAAAAGATCTCAAAACAAGTAAAAGGTAAGTAAGACATTTATGTATACAATAGGGTTGTAAATAAATCTAAACCCTATATGTTAAGAATGTGGTGCTTTAACTCAGGCTTTACATTTTATCTAGACTTATTGGTTGGGACAGTGTAATTGATGGTAATTGGTTAGGAAAAATAAAGTGAACTTTAAGGCTGAATCATTAATTCAGAGCAGAAAAAAAGTTTTATTTATTGTTTTGTTTGGTTGTACTTTAGTCACTTTGTTTCTGTGGTAAATATAGGATGTGCATACATACATATATATAAGCTATATATAGCTTTTGATGCACCATTGTTGTAATGTTAGTAATTGATTGGGCTATTAGGTTGTTTACTTATGAATCACTGTGTCCTTACCTCTCTGGTTCAAGGTTCAAATCTCCTTAGAGACTGGATTCTTTGATGTGAGGCAGTTAAGCTCATGAAATTATAGTGGTTGACTTATTGCTTGTGCCTAAAGTAATATTAAGAGCGGTCTTGTCTCCATTGGTTTAACAACTAAAAAGTCACCAAAGGACCTTGATTATAAGTTACACTGTTACTTTGTATATAAAATAAAAGAATCAGGTTGTTATGAAAACTTTCAAGTTTTAAGTTGGACTATTCACCTTGGATTTTGAGTTAAGTTCAAAATAAAAATACTTAATTATGACACAGATATGATATTATGGTACTGGTTTCATGCAGATGATTTTTCTGATAATTAAACAAATGCAACAATCTTACACTCAAACCAGTACTTGAAAGCGTAGACTCTTTAACCTTTATTATAACTATATGGGTGCCCTCGAACAACCTAAATGAAAGTGATACTGCCTATTGTAACAAAACTTTTAGTGTGGACCATTTATGGTGAAGGCCCTGTAATAACTGGTCATTTTTACTGAGAGGAAAATCAATTATAGCTATATACACTGCAATAAAACTGGACACATTATGACCCCCATAAGCCATTAACTTTATGATAGTACTCTCCTGGTCATTTACTGTATAAAAGTGTTTGTAAAAGTTAAGATCGCTGTGTTTTTGTTGCTTGAATATTTTCTGTATTTTCACTCCACCAGCACAAGCTGTTCTTGTATTATATTATCAATAAAGAAATTGATACTTGGGGGTTCTGAGGAATGCAGACAATTTATCCCAGGTTTTTTTTTTTATACCAAGGTCTTAATTTTGTGACAGCTGGCACTATTGCTATTTTCTCTCTTTAAGATTTTTCGTGATAAAAAAGCGTGTCTGTGGTTAGTTGGCTGTAGCACTAAAATATTAAATCCGGTTTCAGTGAAGTAGAAATAACAGTTTTTACTGCTCAAACAGTTAATACTTTAAATTGAAAAAATAGAATTATTATTTTTCTTTTTCAATGATGTCTTTCAAAAACTGTCTTGATTTTTGAACTTACTTAATATTATATTCATAATGGCAAACAGATTATAAAATTTGCTGTGATAATAATTTATGTTTTTCTTTATATAATTTTCTTCAGATTTGATAATTTTTGTAATTATTTTTCCAAGAAAAAACAACTTGATTTCTTAAATGGCAGGAAAGTCGAGGCAAAACATAAAAAAACAGAGATTGAAAAAATGAATTTTATTTTAGAAACGCTCCAAAAATATTTTTAAGATTATGAGATTTCATGATGGCATATCTGATAAATGATAAAGAATGAAAAAAAAATGTTATGAATATTTGTTGTGAATCACTGAATCACGTTTAATCGACCAATCTTGTTTTGTTTTGACTGCAATTGTGGTTTTTGCATGTTTTTACTTTCTTTATATTAAAAGATAGAGTTGATTTTTTTTATCATTATACCCCCGCACAACAAAGTTGTAAGGGGGGTATACTGGAATCAGCTTGTCCGTCCGGCCGTCCGGCCGTCTGGCCGTCCGGCGTCCGGCCGTCCGTCGGTTTTTTCTTGTCCGCCCAATAACTTAAGATTCCTATGACCCACAGCCTTCATATTTGGCATGGTGGTTACTCATGATTAGTAGATGACGCCTATTGATTTTGAGGTCACCAGGTCAAAGGTCAAGGTCACAGGGGCCTTGACTTCAAAAACCTTGTCCGCCCAATAACTTAAGATTCCTATGACCCACTGTCTTCATATTTGGCATGGTGGTTAGTCATGATTAGTAGATGACCCCTATTGATTTTGAGGTCACCAGGTCAAAGGTCAAGGTCACAGGGGCCTTGACTTCAAAAACCTTGTCCGCCCAATAACTTAAGATTCCTATGACCCACAGTCTTCATATTTGGCATGGTTTTTATTCATGATTAGTAGATGACCCCTATCGATTTTGAGGTCACCAGGTCAAAGGTCAAGGTCACAGGGGCCTTGACTTCAAAAACCTTGTCTGCCCAATAACTTAAGATTCCTATGACCCACTGTCTTCATATTTGGCATGGTGGTTAGTCATGATTAGTAGATGACCCCTATTGATTTTGAGTTCACCAGGTCAAAGGTCAAGGTCACAGGGGCCTTGACTTCAAAAACCTTGTCTGCCCAATAACTTAAGATTCCTATGACCCACTGTCTTCATATTTGGCATGGAGGTTAGTCATGATTAGTAGATGACCCCTATTGATTTTGAGGTCACCAGGTCAAAGGTCAAGGTCACAGGGGCCTTGACTTCAAAAAGCTCTTTCGCCCTATAACTTAAGATTCCTTTGACCCATAGTCTTCATATTTGGCATGGAGGTTAGTCATGATAAGTAGATGACCCCTATTGATTTTGAGGTCACCAGGTCAAAGGTCAAGGTCACAGGGGCCTTGACTCCAAAAAGCTTGTCCGCCCAATAACTTAAGATTCTTTTGACCCACAGTCTTCATATTTGGAATGGAGGTTAGTCATGATTTGTAGATGGCCCCTATTGATTTTGAGGTGACCAGGTCAAAGGTCAAGGTCACAGGGACTTTGACTTCAAAAAGTTTGTCCACCCATTTATGACTCACAGTCTTCATATTTAGCATGGATGTTGATCATGACTATAAGGTGATCCCTATTGATTTTGAGGTCACTGGGTCAAAGATCAAGGTCACAGGGACCTTGACAAAAAAAGCTTTTCTTAATTGTTAAAGAATATCCTGTCCGCAATGTATTGATTTTGACATTTTCACATTTGAAGCATGTAGAATACATAACTTAGCAATGCACTGGCTTAGTAACCTCAGATTTGGCAGGGAGGTTGTCCTTGAGCTCTAAATGCCCACTGTTGATTCTGACAAAGTGGTATGCGGGGGTATTCACGCCATGATAGTGGCAGTTCTAGTTTTGTTAAGTGAAGTATACTTGAAAAATAATATATTGATAGACATTAATGGTTCTTTGTTTAGGCTTAAAACTTAAGGCATCTTAAAAGAAATATTTGTTTCTCATTATTCTGTCTGAAAACCAACAACATGCCGCTATTATGATTTAATGTTTTATATTGATAGTATTGTAACTGGAAGTTCATTAAATGGGGCTTACAAAAGTTCAATGATGGTGTAGATGTGCAAACCGGTGCTTTGTCATGCAGGGGATGTAAATCACTTTAATATACATGTATACAAACTTAATTTTGGAGCAATCTGGAAAAAAACATTCAATTTAAGGGAAAATTTCAAAATTTGTAATAACTGAATAGTAAATATCTTGGTCTGCACTGGTCGCATGGGTAGCAGAATTTGAGCCTTTAGGGTATCAACTTGGGAACTGAAAACAAAACTATATTTATTTAGCCTAGAAATTATACTAATGTCATGTTATGACAGATATAAACATAACAAAAGAAGTTACAGCTGATTGTTTAGACACATTGTGTTGATGGTTCATGCAAAATGAGCCAACTTTCTGTCGCAATATAAATTAATTTGGATCTTCTTTGTGTGAGAGGAAAGAATAAATCCTTCTGTTTAAGTTATACAATATATCTTCTATAATCACTTTGCATTTATTCATAGGAGAAGAGCTTCCTCCCCTTCTGTTGGGAATCATATTGTTGTTTTCTATTTTAGGGATTTAATGGTTGATTTTAGGTCGATAGTGTCCATGAAAGCATGATTTTTATTTAAACTAAGACCTTTATTGCCTACCATAGGAAAGTCTTCAATTACCTTCAGTCTAAGAATCTAACATGAAAACTGTCTTGCTGAATTTCATGTGACAGTTGCTGAATTTCATGTGACAGTTGCTGAATTTCATGTGACAGTGCTATCTTATGTCAATTAAGTATGTGTTTCTTTCTTGATAAAAAAGCAAAGGTTATTTTTGTAAAAACAATTCAAAGGTAAAATCAGTTTTTTTTTTAAAGGTTTTTATTCAAAAAGTTTAGAAGGCCAAAAATTCCTTGCCGGCTGGGAGTCCACAAATTAGAAAGCAATGCCCTGAATGTTTTTCCCATTCAATCAAGGGGTATATTTAGAAATTTTCCTTAAAAAATGATACATGGTTTTGTCCATATTGATATAGTGACAAGTCCATTTATGTTATGTAGTATGGTAAAAAAGGTTTTGAAAGGCGCACTGCTTCGGTCAGTATTATCTCTCATCCTCAAGTTAATTACATAACCTTTCCGGCTTCAAAAGAAAAATTTGAAAGTAAATGTCCTGAAATTATAATTTCTGAGTTTATTATCATACTACATGAAGCTTGTTATCAATGAAGGTAAACACAAATTTCAGACGTTCCCATACTTGAAGTTATATAAATCGTTGTCCGTGTTGAGGATATTAAATAAAATACCCGCAAGCATAAGATTCTCTGAAATTTAATTATCTGCTAAACTTAAATTTTGTTGCACTGATGTAAAGTGAGTCAATGAAATTTAAGAGCCTTTACATGCTTTTTCCCCTTGTCAGATTTGTAAGACTTTGAAAAGATTTTGTCGATGTGATCTTTGTTTAACAGCTGTATTCATACCAGTTGAAATTTGAAAAAGAAAAATTGGGAAAAAAACTGAATAGGCGGCTTAGATTAATGATGAATAACACCGCTGCTTTTTA